CTCTCCGCAGCTAAATATTTCTATCCAGGGACAGATGGTTTATCTTCCAATCCTCTTAGATGCATATAAGAATCTCCAAGTGTGCTTCATACATGAATGAAACAGTAAGTGAGGATACAGGCTGTTTTGTCTTTAGAGAAAAGGCAGTAAAGCAAATTATATTTGTTCTCCAAATGGTCAAAAGGCCAGGAGTGTGTGAGTTCTGTGCAAGWCTTTTTCTTAATGACACTTACTTGATTCACATTCCACTCCCCTCCCACACACTTCCCCTGCTTGCCTAGCCTTTGTTTAGGATAATCATGGCATTAGTATTCTTGGGTAGAATCCTCAGAAGTTGCTCAATGGCCTGCATTTGGCCAGAACCCTGAGGTTTTCTGTGTATGAAAAACTAATTTCTATCATGTAATTATCCCTTTTGCTAAAAAATTTTTAATGTAAGATTAATTTTGTATTAAATATCACACTTTCATCTGCTACTACTTAATACTAGCTTCTGCATGCCATTCACAGTTATAATTGAAATCATCTTACTTAGTAATGCMGTCCAGACACACAAAATGATTAATAAATTGCAATGATAGCCACAATTTATCCAGCATTTACTCTGTGACAGCTATTGAGATGATCATTTCACAAATCATTCACAGGATTATTTTTACTTTTTATCATTAAAGAAACTAAGCTTTGTGAATGCCTTCTCTAAAGGTCATAGTACCAGACAATGCATAGGCAGAATTTACACCTAAGTTTTTTTTGGTTTCAAGGATTATGCAGGGAGCTACTGAGCTACACAACAAATACCAGGCCACGGTAATGAACACTCAGTCCAAATATCACACATCTAGATTTTTACCCAGGCTCATCAAGTCTGCTCATCCTAGTTTTAACTGCTTTGGGGTCTAAATGAAGTGAAGAGCCATGTTTTAAAAACACTTGAAAAAATGAAAATGTTCTTTTATGCAACACTTGGTTGAGCTCCTCCTGTGAAACAGGCACTATGCTTCTCGGAGGTGGTAATCTAAAGGTGACTGTGCCTGCCTTTTGAGTTTAAATTAGAGTAGAAGAGGAAGAACTGAAGCTGTATTGCAATCTATGTTGTAGCAGAGATGAGCATAGAAAACCACGGAAGCATGGCGGGAAAAGCACGCAGTGACACACTAGGTACCTTTTAAGGGGAAAAGAGGGGTTTTCCAGGCAGAGAAGAAATAGGTTGGGTGACAGGAACAATATGCTCACTGTGAGCGGAGGTGGGCAGAGGGATGACATGTTTTATCCCAATAATGTTGAAAAGTTCAGCAGAGCCAAGGTTAGGATGCACCATGATGGGACAGGAGGTAAAGAATGTTCAGAAAAAGGCATGCAGTGAGAAAGAGCCTCTGAAAGGTGTGATTGGGGACAGAACGTGACAGCCTGAGAACATTATGCAAAAGACCCTAATATCTAAAGGATCATGAGTAATGTACTGTGGAGAAGGGTGAAGACAGCAGAGGAGGGGTATGTCTGCCCCACAARGGGAACTCTCTCTGCAGCTCTTGGACATTGATGCTGTGGAAGAATGCAGGCCCAACATTTGTAGATCTTCTGATTTGCCAAGACAAGCCAGAGATCTAAATCCCCAATTTTTAAATATCAGGAGTTAACTCAAAAATAAAAAAATTAAAAAATCAGTGACTTCAGCAAAACAACTTAGCAGCTGGATTTGAGTTCTTCTCATAGACAAGAGCCTTGTTGTGTCTCTGAAGGCAACCAGTAGCTCATTTATCATTAAATTCCAAATCCTTGGTAAAATCTAGAGATACTATCATGTAAATAATCTTGTATAATTAGGAAGGTAATACATAAATTTACCTTCTTTACGGTGTAGTTTTTAAGTGTACTGTAAACAATATTTATTGAGCAAATAAAAGTCTTTCCTCAGACCATGTTTCACCAAGTTCACTAATTGAACTTCCTATTTTCTTTTGTATCACTTTAAAAAACAATGTTCTAGAGTAACATAAGAAATAATCCATTTGTAAATGAGATGCAAACTAAATTTTGGTGTGTTAAAATTATTAGTTGGGATGCCATTCAACTAAGGCAGTTCTAGCACCCTGAGAGTCTCTGATAAACAACTGAGAGGGGAACCCTAACTCTGAGTAGAGGATCATGCAGGGAAACCTAATTTAAGCTTAATTACTATCAAACTACCCTCTAACTGCTAACCAGGCACTTCACAATTACTATTCCACTTTAATCAAATATTTTCCATTTGTTTCCTCATCTACCTTGTAAGTGTCCCCTTGTGCTCCTTGGTGAAGCCCAGACAACTTGTAGTTTAACAATGTCTGATTCTTGAATTGCTGTCAGCTTGAAAGAAATAATAAATGCTTAAGGTAAAAGATGTGTTAATTACTCTGATTTGACATCACACATTGTATATTCATATTGAATTATCACTGAACCCCATAAATATGTACAATTACATGTTAATTTAAAAATAGTCACAACTTTCAGAGGCTCTTTCCCACTGCATGCCTCTTTCTGAACATTTTTTAATGTTCCTGGTTTATCTTTTAACAGATACATCAGACTAATGAGAAGTTACTTTTTAAAAAGGCCTGCGAAAACTTTAACATCTACTTTGCAACCTGAGTAAGTCCAAGGGAAATTTTTATGTGCATGAAAAACAAATCCTGTCTGCAGCAGCTAGGAAGGCAGGCTTTGAGAAACTCTACTGGATTGGGTTATATTCTGTTGGTGTGTGTGGGTTACCACTTCTTACAGGGGAGTCGGGGAGGACACCTCTGAAAAGGCAGGGAGCAGTGTTGACAATGTCAGGGAGAGGGCAATAAGGAGGTCCCTATGACCAGAGGGCAATGAGTGAGAGTGACCTGCAGGGAAGATCTAAGAGCAGGGCAGGGGTAGGGAGACAGATGATGTGTAGACAGATGATATTGGAGCCATTTGCTCCAAGTGAGGTGGGAGGTCCTGAACCATGGTTCTGTGATGGGGAGCCATAGAACCACAGGCTTTGACCCAGGCTTTTCAAGAACCACTCTGGCCTGCTGTGCAAGGGTGGCAGAGGGAGACCAGTTAGGAGGCACCTGTGGTCAGCCAGGCAAGAGATGATGATGGCTTGAACCATGGTGGGAAGAGGGAATGGTGAGAAGTGGTTGCGCATTTCATAGCTTCTGAAAAGATTTGAAGGAGTGAACTGTGGGTTTTGAGAGTGGGGTGTTCAAGGATGTCTCCAGGTCTTCACTTGAGCAACTGGAAAGAAGGTTGCCATTTTTTTTTTTTTTTTTTTTTGAGATGGGGAAGACTAGGACAGGAAGTGCTGCTGATGCTGGTGGCTGAGGCAGCAGAATTAATTTTGGACATATTTAGAGATGTATATTAGGCTTCTAAGTAGAGACATTAACCAGACAGTTGGATATTCAAGTTAGGAAAGAACATCTGGGGTGTGATGATGACCAAGGAGAATCCTCAAAAGCTAGGAGAAAGGGGTATGGGGGGTGGTATACAATGACCCTCTTGAAAAAGTTTCAGGTATTTTCATTTGTATCATGATTATAAAGTTCTGTGATGACTGTAAAAGTATGTGGTAAGAAGTGGCTAAAGATTCTTTAAATAATTAATAATCCTGTGATTCCTACAGTGTGGACCTCGGCCCAAGAGCAGCAGCACCACAGATGAGCTTGTTAGAGATGTGAGTGAAGGGGCCTCCGACCTGGGAGGTCATAAACTTGAGGTAAGGCCCAGGAAATGGTGTGGACAAGCTCTCCCACAGATTATTATGTTCACTGAAGCCTGAGTGGGCTATATGATCAGCAAACTAGTTACTTTTGGGTTTTAAATATTAAGAAAAAAAATGAATTTTTTTTAGAAAAAACATCTTTATTATTTGATGCATAAAAAAGAGTAAACAAAAATTATATGACATTTCATTCCTTAGTCTTCTCAATAAAGTTATAAAAATACAATGTCACTTGGTCTTTGTAAGCTCTTGAGAATGTCTAGAGGATCAAAAGGCACAACACACAATGAGATGGTAAAAAATAAAACCTGCTCACAGGTACTATTGAGGAAAGTTTCTAAAAATAGGCTCGCACATAAATAGGGCTTTATTTTTTCTTCCTTCCCAAAACCCAGATAGCATCTCCCCCATCTTATAGATCTTACACATGTGACCTGCCTTCTCCCACCTTAGCTCTTAATGCAGGTTAACAGAAAAGCCAGCTACAATTGATTTGCCTGCTTTTTTTCATTTTAATTTCCAATTTGTTTAAGGTAAAACAGGATTCTTAAATGGTGCTCAAGATCTTTTAGAATGTCTGGCTCATTTTCATTTTATTTCAAATCACAATTCATTAAAAATAGATGATGATGCAAATTTTTTTTATATAAAAAAGGACTTATTATTCATTTGCTATATATGTCTATATTTTTAAATACAGCTGTTGCATCTTTGGCTTTTTAGTATGTTGAAATCATACTAACATGATCTTTGTGAATCGTGACCATAGGTTCAGTACAACCCAAACCATTCATTGCATTTACCTGTGATAGGTGCTTTAACTCTTCATTTTCCTTAGGTTGGCCAAACGAAACACAATGTCCATCATAAATCAAATAAAAACCCACTACTGTGTATGTCATATATGTTCTATTGCTAACAAAAATAAGTGTATTCTTGCTGTGGAAATTCTGTGGCCTGGGAATTTTTATTAGATCATCTTTTCAAGACATTGAGGATTCTTCTTTTTAACTGAAAGAAATGCAAGTCAGATCAATAATTCATCCTCTCCATTTAGGACGCTGTTTTAGAGGCAAGTGAATCATTTCACCTCAAGAATGTCCACTAAAGAAATACATTCATTACTTTAAGGAGTTGCCTAAACATGGTCAATCTGAAATGATTTAGCAATGAAATTCAGAATTTGGTTATTTTCCTGGCAGGATTTGTACTATAAATGAAAACTGACATTTAAAATAACATGTGGGAAAATACAGAGTCACTTGGATGCTTCCACTTTATTACTGCAATCATAACTAGTAGTGATTTAAATTAGTCCTTGACATTGATTTGTGTGTTTAAATTAGTCCTTAAATATGCCTTTTTGCCTTTTGTTCTGTTGCTCACCCTTTGAAGAATGCCATGATAATCAGTGCATGGTGTGTTGTGCCGAGCACCCTGCACGGCCTTCTTGAGGACGCGTCCGCTGATTGTGCCTTGCTCACACATTCCTATTCAGCTTTTCTGTTGGACGACACTGATAAGCTTGTGTTGATTTTCAAGGCAGTCTTTCAGCTTATCCTCTGTCAAAGTCAGTCGCTGCTCCAAAATGGAAACTGTCTACAAAAGGGAGGACAGAATAATCAATGCCCAACGGTAACCTGGAAGGTAACCTGGAGATAGGAGGACAGTGGACCTCTGCACAGGAGATCCTTTTATGAAGCCTCAAAGCCAGGGAGGAGGCCCCATACAGCATTCCAAGTGGAGTCACGGACCATGCCTGGTCCCGGTAGGTGCTTTTCAAGCATCATTTTCATCATTCTGTCATGATCCAATCCATGATGCATCATACCCATCACACCCCAGAGAGATGGACAACTGGAAGACTTTGAAAGTACCATGATTGCCATCAGTCCCTCACGCAGTACAACAGAAGCTCACAGCGTGGCTGGAAGCATTGAGTWAAGACACATGTGTGCAGTGGGTAGGCAAGTGCTGGGCATGCAGGACCCGGGCCTTGGCTATCCCTCCTCCTTTGGGGAATGATGCATATGTTCCATTTAGAACAGACATACATGTGTAGGTTACACTTAGGACATCTAATTTCTCTGTGATATTGACTATTTTCAATCTTTTTTTTTATATAAAAAACTTCCTTAGAAGCTAAAATAGACTATTCAGGAAACCACATAAAACACATGTGTCACTAAATGAATGCATATTAAACAATGCCCTCCTAGCTATTACTCAATAACTAGAACTTTGCCAGCTACCCCAGAGTGCCTTCCATGAGCCTCCTACAATCACCAACCACCCCTCCCTCCCTCTGTAACAGCCACTACCCTTGACCTTCATAATCACTGTTATGTATTTCCTTATGGCTTTATTTCCCTGATACACACTTCTAGACAGTGTAATTTCTCCTTTTCAAGATCTGATACATGACTTTCAATCGGCAGGTGCCCACTTTCTCCCTTTCTTTTCTTGACAGTTTGTCTGCTGACAAGCTCGGACACTCTAACGTGTGGAGTTTCCACCAAGTCTGGATTTTAGGGATTGTGTGTTCAGCCTGTTCTTCCATCCTCTGTATATTCTAAAAATCGGCAGCTGGATCCTAAGGCTTGATCAGGGTAGATCCCTTGCTAAGACTTCGTGTGGTAGTTTATTCTTTTTTTTTTTTTTTT